TACTCGCTTATTCGGCGATATTCAAAAATTAATATCTCGTTAAATATTGCGAATTTTGCAAAATGGTAGAGAACTTTTCGATTCAGTTTAGTCCATTCTATCTACCCATGAGCGGTCATACACCTATTCTGAGACACCCTGTATATAAAATATGCACTATGAGTATAGATCAAAGTATTTTTATTTATGAACATTTTTCAAATCAAAATCGCAAAATCCAGTTCTTTAGCAGTTTTTGTATTTTTGTAAGAAATAAGCTAAAAAAGCAAATTATTTTTACAAGAAAATATGTATTTATCCCAAATAAGATACAAATAATAATAAATTTTGAGTCGTTATTCTCTTATCAATCCTTATTGAAATTACATTTTTTTGCATAAACATATTTTTCTAAAATTTTGTATATAAAAAATAATAGAATAAGACATTCGAAAAATGTTTTCCAAGATATTTCAAAGCTTATTGTTAGTAGTAGTAGTAGTAGTAGTAGTAGTTATTGTGCGGGTGGTTTTACAAGAGGCCTAGCGTCACCTAGATCCGTAATGATACCACTGTAACTCCCGCTTGATTTGAGAGGCTCCAAATGACAGTCTCCCCCCGCTGCCCGACACTGAACCCCCGTTCATCCCCTTGTCAGACATCTGTCCTTTTCAGACCAGTGCCAGACACTAGGCTTTGTTTAGCTCCTGCTCTAGACACTAGGCCCCGTTCAACTCCGTGCCGGACGCCAGGTCCATATCACTCCCCGGAACCCCTCTCTACCATTGGATGTTCTAATTTGGCAGGAATACTCTCGGTGGTTTTGCCGTGCCTTACCGAGAGGTGGCGATCGCTTTTCCAGAAATCGTGCTCCGATTTGCGCCGCCAGATGCCGTAGGGCACTGGTCGCGCATTTCAGAGCACCGTAGTTCTAGGTGGTATTGAACCTGGATCCTCGGAACAGTAAAGCTGCCACGCAGCACCTGCGTCACGATCGCCACTTTTTTAAAGCTTTATTCTAGCATATTTTAATGTGAAATATAAAATATCTCGAAAACTATTCATTTTTGGTAATCTTAATATTTTAATATTTTTATACACAGAATAATGAGATAAATTAATTAGTGCAAAGAAAACATATAATTGCTTTTTAAAAAGGTATATAATATTGTAAATATTGTAATTTTTTTGAAAAATAATTAAGTGTTTTTTACACTAATTAAGTTATCTTATTATTCTATGTATGAAAGTATTACATGATTATCAAAAAATGAATAATTTACGAGATATTTATATATTTCATATTATATATGCAAAATATATATATTTTTCATATTATATATGCAAAATATATATGCCAAAATAAAAACAAAAATATTTAAAATATTCTAGATAATATTTTTAAAATATTTAAAATATATTTTGTATAAAATATTTGTTTTACACATTATATCTTAATACTTATTTATACATAGAATATTTAGAAGAATTTATTTATGCAACAAACTTATATATGATTATATCATTTAATTTTTGTCTATACCATTTCTTTGTATCTTCAACGGGACAAATCCTAGAAACTGTCTCAATTGCACCATCTACTTTATACTAGAGTCCTAGAAAACAGAGATGCGGCATTGAAGGGTATGGTCTGATTGGCTGTCTAAATCACATGACAAAGCACCAATCAAATGATCAAAGCGACCATTTTAATTCACTATTGCATCTAATGCATCAAGATACAGCTTTGTAAAGTATGTACATATAAATTATACAGAGAACAATTAAGACAATACAAATTGTTGAAATGCAATAAAAAGCTATTATTATGGTGTATTTTTTTTTTTGCATCAATTGTCATCAGCTTATAAGGTTAGGAGTACTTTGCTGAATTAAAATGGCGGTGGCTATCTAACCTAACTGACGCCGTGTCGCATCTCTGTATTCTAGGACTCTCTTTATACATGTACATGTATTTTTGAAAAGATTAATATTATTTTATTAATTAAGTGCAATGTAAATGTAAATATGATAAAATTATATATTTAAATACTAATTAAAGCAAATTTGTATTTTCGTAGGAGTCATCTTCAAAACAAATTACTCAGCTAAAATCAGAACTTGAAAACACGACGAGTAAATTCATTGTAGCTACAAATGAGTTAGCAAGCCTTCGAATGTCCTTGGAAAAAGAACAATTAAGTAATTCCTCTTTATGTCTGGAACTAACGCATCTACAAAATATTCTTGAGTCTGAACGAGCAGCAATGACAGAGTTGCGAGTTTTTCTCGAAAAGGAAAGAGATGAGAAGGATATTGCCTTGCTAAGGAATGCTCAAATGTCACAAGACATAGAAATTGTAAAACAAGAAAATCGGCAACACAAGATTGAAAACATGGAATTACAGAACAAAATGGAAAATTTGGAGGATGATCTAGCGGGTAAGATGAAAGAAGCAGAACAGGTGATAGTTACGTTAAAAGAATTTGAGCAAAAAGTTATGAAATTAGAAGAAGCTGAACGAACAAGAGAAAAATTGGAAGGAAATGAAAGAATACTGAAGAACAGCTTGTTAGATCTGGAAGAGCAATTAAGCGAAAAGAATAAGGTAAATGATCAACTTTAAGACTACGGTACATGTTAAACATTTAATATTTTTCTGTAAACATTTAGCAAATTAAAATAATATTTAATATATTATCTAAACTATTTATATCAAATATTTATCTAAATAAATAATTCCATTTATATATACAATTCTTTTTAATTTTTTTTCTTTTTCATAGACAATCAAAGTTTTGCAGCAACGTTTAACTGACATGAAGAAAACGCTTCAACGTGAATTAAAGATTCCATCCTCTTCATTAGATAGCGACGTCGACGCTTCTGCTGCTATTCTTAATCTAAGTTCATCCAAAACTGTCACTGCCAGACATAATAATTCCAGAGAGGATGATGTTAATTTTAAATATCTGAAGCATGTTCTTATAAAATTTCTCACTAGCAGAGAATATGAGGTACATATTTATTCTGATATAACTTATATACATAGTGGATTTAAAAAGTTCCGAGACTGAATTTTTTCTGGACCATAGACTTATAAGATAGACTGCCCATTAAAATCGTGAGACCAACATTAGTAAGAGAGGGCAATAGAAATGTCGTTCTTTTCTTGTTTAATGGTGCAGTTGGTGAAAAGAAGGAAAGAGGAGAGAAACAGTCTTCTCCGCATCAACTGCACAATTGAACAAGGATAGGACGACACTTCTATTGCCCTCTCTCACTGATGTTGGTCCGATTTTAATGGAGGCGTGCAGTCTATCTTATAAGTCTGTGTCCGGACTAAGGCTTTGACTGTATAATCACAGTATAACCACAGTATAACCAGTAGGTCCACTCAGCGAAAAACTGAGTCTTCACGCAGGTATCGCCGCGCAACTTTTGTTTTGGGTTGGATCCAATGAAATGTAAGACGATAGGAAGGACTACATACATATGTGCAGACAATTTATAGGCAAATACATCAGAAATTTTCTTTAGTGATCACTCCTACGAATAATTGTTACTAATAAAACATTTTATTTGATTCACACATTGAATTTATTGATTTATTGTATCGAATCCATATTATTACTTATCTGTTTTATTACTTGTAAGGCACTTTTCTCAATTCGATCCTGGATTTAACATGGTGGATGCTCACGTGATCCGGAAAAGGAGATCAAAGGCGCCGACACGAAGTAACCTACTGGTTATACTGTGGTACTCAGTGGTAACCAGTAGGTACACTTCGTGTCGGCACTTTGATCTTCTTTTTCGGATCACGTGAGCATCCACCTTATTAAATCCAAGACCGAATTGAGAAAAGTGTCTCACAAGTAATAAAAGAGATAAGTAATAATATGGATTCGATACAGTAAATCAATAAATTCAATGTGTGAATCGAATAAAACGTTTTATTAGTAACAATTATTCGTAGGAGTGATCACTAAAGAAAATTTCTGATGTAATTGCCTATAAATTGTCTGCACATATGTATGTATCTATTCCTATCGTCTTGCATTTCATTGGATCCAATCCAAAACAAAGTTGTACGGCGATACCTGATGCGCGAAGACTCAGTTTTTCGCTGAGTGAATTTACTGTGATATAATCATGGATCGCTAGTTGTCCCGTCCCATCATCTCTCTCACCTATAAGGTTATGTATCCAACATGAAGTTGACTTAAGCCCCGCCTCGTGTGGCAAATTGCTGGAAATTTAAAGGATATAAGACGGATGCAAGAATTAGACAGGTGGTTGTTAATAATTATTGTACCAAAATATAAAGAATAATTAATGTATATAGATGTAAATTTTTATTGTCCTTGAGATATTGTCATTTTAGTATTACCGTGCCTTACAAATGTATTGAATTGCATTTTGGTTTGCATATTTCCTTCGTAAAAAAACTTAATATTTAGGTATGCTGTTATAATAAATTTGATAATATATATATTTATGATTTTCTCTCTATGATCTCGATATGATTTTCTCTATGAAGACCTCTAAATCTTTCACATGTTAGTCAAAATTTTTAAAAAGATTATTAGATGTTAAATTTTGTAAAAAAAAACGTCATTGAATATTTTATAGTAAACTTTTTAATTTTTAATTTATCTTCCAAGTAATATAAATTAAACATTTTTTCCGTTATGAAAGTAATAACAAAAATATCTATTTTTGACTACCTCAAAAATCCATAACTCCTACGGCTAATAAATTGCCAGAGTTTCTACTGCTGTTACTTTTGTTGCTCTCAACTTCCGCTTTGCCAAACGGTGTTGCCACAGATCTTGGTTACCAACGTGAAGTTGGCGTTAGCGGTCCATGATTATATAGTCAAAGATGGCAGATAGGAATACCTAAGGCACTATAAGATGTAGGTAGTTCCTTTGAGTATATAGAGAGGTAATGTTGGCTCGAAAACTGTGTTCAAGATGTGTGCGAGAGAGAAAGGTAGACGAGTAATGTTCGTCTTCTCTGCGCATGCGTCGATCATTCAACAGACAGAGAGAACGAAGTATCACGTGGTATCGCTCGTATACCTTTCTCTCTCGCACTCCTTGCCACTTTTGGACTCGCTTGCGGCCTACAAAG